TATGTATGTACTAACACGTTGTACTGAACGGGATGAGAATAGCTTGAGCTACCTCATCCCTTTGTGTGTATTTTACCTCAATAAACTTATTTCAATTTCAATTTCAGGTGAGGTGAGCCTAACCTAACATATCATATATTTATTCATTACGTATTGCCAGGAAGCTTTGTGAAGCTTGTGTAGCTTGTGGTAGCTTGTGGTAATTAGACGGACCCTTGTCGAGGTGTTGAGAGGCATTTGGAAGGTCATTAATGTAGACGAGAAAGAGAAGAGGGCCAGAGGGCTCTCAAGTTGACTATTTCCTTAACAGCATGAACTCCTGTATGCTAATCCCCACAATCACCAAACCTACCCGAGTCACTCAAACATCAGCCACTACCTTGGACAAACATAACAAACATGGACTGCTCTGTGCGGAGTCCAGCATAGAACATTGTGTTGAATTTCCCCTTGTATCTGGTATAATCTACGACAGAACAACTGACCACTATCCTACCTTTCTCATAGCGAACATGGACATAACACCACCAAAAAGCAAGAAACTTTCATTTAGGCTACACAGTGAATCAGCTTTAGACAATCTTACAGAGGCACTTTACAATATTAACTGGGATTCTGAATTCAATAATACCCATGATATAAATTCATTAGCTAACCTCTTCATCTCCAAAACTCTAAGCCTCTACAACCTTCATTGTCCCCTTCTTACCAAGCAAGTAACTGACAAGAGATTAAACAATCCATGGCTCACAAGTGGCATTCTCAACTCAATCAACAAGAAACATGAATATGAAAAGAAAGTTAGGATTGGCCTAGTTTCAAAGGAAGTAGCTAAAAGGTACTCATCAATGCTTACCAGTATCATAAGAAAGGCAAAACTTGCATATTATGTGAATAGATTCAATGAAGCAAAAGGCAACATGAAAAGCACTTGGAAAACTATCTCTAGTATCCTAGGAACTAAACAACACTCACATAACCAAATAAAACTCTACAAGGATGGGGATATACCGTCAACTGATTTAGAAATGGCAAATGAATTTAATAGTTTCTTTTCATAGGTTGGTGCTAATCTTGCCAGTAAAATCCCACAGACTCAGACACATTAACACATATCTCTCAGGCAGCTATCCAAACTCTCTTCTCCTTTCACCAATCAGCCCGGCAGATGTTGTGTCCATCATACATTCTCTAAAAACCAAGGCAGGGAACACCAGTGAAATTCCGTCCATTGTGTACAAGAGAGCCTCCCATGCCCTTGCCCCATCCATAGCACTACTGTTCAACAAATCTATAGAGTATCACACCTTCCCTGATATCCTCAAAAAAGCAAGAGTAACGCCAGTCCATAAAGGAGGCAATCCGGCGGACATAAACAATTATAGACCAATATCAAATCTACCCACTCTATCAAAAATATTTGAAAAAATTATTTACAAACAGCTCTATTCCTACCTCGTAAAATTCGACATACTCAGCCCCTGCCAGTTTGGCTTCCGGTCCCAAAAGAGCACCAATGATGCAATCATTAGTCTCCTTGACATTATCTACTCAGCCCTTGACAAAAATGAGTTTCCGATTGGACTCTTCATTGACCTAAGAAAAGCCTTTGATACTGTTAATCACAACTACCTCTTACTTAAACTCCAGCATTATGGAATCCGAGGCCTTGCCCTTGACTACATCCGATCCTATCTTAGTGACAGACACCAATGTGTAACCATCAATGATACAACTTCTTCCACTCTACCAATTACCGTTGGAGTGCCACAGGGCAGCATCTTAGGACCTCTTCTATTTCTTATATATATAAACGATCTGCCTAATGTCTCTAATATTCTCAAACCTATATTGTTTGCTGACGATACTACCCTTATCTACTCAAACCTCAACCCACATACACTAAATAATGTTGTGAATAATGAATTAAAAAAGTCCACTTATGGATGTCAACGAACAAACTAACATTAAACATCGAAAAGACTTACTACATCTTATTTGGAAGCAAATCATCAAATGCAATTCAGCTACAGATAGACAACATTAACATCAGTAATAAAAATGATGGCAAGTTTCTTGGCCTATTCCTAGACAAGAGACTCAACTTCAGCACCCACATTCAACACATAACTAAGAAAGTCTCTAAGACAGTTGGTATACTCTCCAAAATCAGATATTATGTTCCTAACTCTGCTCTCCTCTCACTATATTATGCACTAATCTACCCCTATCTTAATTATGGTATCTGTGCATGGGGGTCTACCACTGCAAACCACCTTAAGCCCATCATCACACAGCAAAAATCTGCTATCAGAATTATAACTAACTCTGCTTTCAGACAACACTCAGCTCCCTTGTTTAAATCCCTAAACTTGCTAAATATTAACTCCCTCCACACATTCTCTTGTGTCAACTACATTTAAAAAACCCTGTTCTTAAATGCAAACCATGCTCTGAAACTCTCTCTGGACAGATGTAATAGGACCCATTATCACCACACCAGAAATAAATATCTCTTTGATATCCCCAGGGTCAAACTTAATCTGTGTAAACACTCTATGCAAATTAAGGGACCTAGTCTATGGAACTCACTCCCTAGTGAATTGAAAAACTGTAAAACTTTTGCCTTATTTAAAAGCAAAACCAAAAAGTACCTAACTTCATCTTCTTAGTTTCCTACACTGAGCTTTAAATTTGCTCTGTACCTAGTGTTACCCAATCTCCTAATTTTTATGTAATATCAAACAACCTTATCATTGTGTTCATTGCTGTCTTCTTTTATGTGCTAGCCATATGCTGTATTGTGACTACCAATTTTTGTCAACTACCATTCAAGCTGTCATTGCAATCAATCTTATATTGTTTCTGCTGTATTGTGCCTACCAATTTGTTGTCAACTACCATTTTAAGCTGTCATTGCAATCAATCTTAGCTACCTATGTGCTTTAATATACTGTACCTACAATTTTCTCTCATCTTTTTTTTTTTTTTTCATTTCATGTAATCTGTTATCATTTTTTTTGTCTATAAATTTTGCAAGTATTTACCTCCTTAAAATTTTCTTAGATTAAGGACCTGCCCAAAACGCTGCGCGTGCTAGTGGCTTTACAAGACTGTAATTACCATATTTGTATCCTCACATTCCTTATGTACATTCTTGTATATGCATAAATAAAATAAAATAAAATAAAATAAATTATGCTGCCCTGTGGAACACCAATGTTTATGGGTAAGATGGGAGAGAAACATACTGGAGTCAGTATGTCACAAACATACTGGAGCCTGTCAGTAAGGTAAGACTGAAGGTATTGCAGGGTACATGTGACTCCATAATGATGTACAGGTACTGTAATTTAAGAAGGTTTATGTGGTTGAGTGTCAAAAGCCTGACGTAGGTCCACAAATAACCCAACAGGGAACTCATTTTTATCAAAAGCTATATGTATCAAGTTAATCATACTAATCAGTGCAGCATTAGTGCTTTTATTGGGTCTGAAACCATATTGGCAAGAGCTAAGTATATTGTGTTTGGCTAAATAAGAGTAAAGCTGTTTGTAGATTAGCTTTTCAAATATTTTTTGACAAGGTTGGCAGAATTGATATAGGTCTGAAGTTGTTGACATCAGTGAGATCACCACATTTGTGGACTGGAGTTACTCTTGCTTTTTTTTTTTTTAGAATATCTGGAAAGGTTTGGAGTTCAAGTGGTTTGTTGAAAAGCAATGCAATGGCAGGAGCTAGAAATCTGGCTTAAAATACTTAGGTTAAAAGAAAGGTCCACTTAGCAGGACCAAACAAATCTTTGAATGTAAACAAGTTGGGAGGAATCATTAGTGTGAGAGGTACAGCGCCAAGCTTCCCCAGTATGAAGGAGGATTAAAAAGTGTCACGACTAGATGGAGCCACTCCATGCGACAAAGTGGTCACCACTGGAAAAAGGCTTGAGGCTCAACCCTGCCATGGAAGTGGGAGGGAAACAGAGGGGGTCAGTCGCAAGAGTCAACAAATGAGCCTGGTATGGCCCAACAAAGCTGGGGCTACAGAGCCCGATCTTCCATCACCGGCCAACTTGGGGGGCCTAGTCTCCCACCCCACGAGACTGTGTAAGAGAAGTCGGTTTGGAATCCTTACAACATTAATTTCAAAAGTCTGGGTCTCAGAGTCACAGGGATACAACCTACCTTACCTTGGTTATACATACCTCGGTAGGATTCTGGAAGTTGTTCTACTCCCCAAGCCCGGGCCCAGGGCCAGGCTTTACTTGTGAGAGCTTGGTTTAACAGGCTGTTTGGCCCACAGCCCCACATATCCACTACAGCCCAGTTGGTCCAGCACTTGAGGAAACTACAGTACCCAGTTTTCATAAATACATCCATGTTTGTTCTGGCAATATTTCTTATGCTTGCTGGGAAGAATGTTGAACAACAGTGGACCTCTGATGTTCATGCAGTGTTCTCTGGTTGTGCCTATGGCATCTCTGTTCTTCACTGGCTCTATCCTGCCCTGCCCTTTCAGGGCAGCTAGGAAGGCAGAGTGCTAGCCAGTGCAGGGAGGGGTGCATCATCCCCCAATTGATGCTTCTCCCCCCCCTTTTTTTTTACAAGGGGTGGGGGGGGGTCCTTACTGCCTTGTACATTCTCCCACACTGGTGCAAAGCTCTCTCTCCCCCAGCCTGAATACCCAACCATGCCCCAAGGGCAGCCCCTCCAGCTGGGTCCATTGACCCAAACAAGATCCCTACAGGTGTGTACCTTAGTATGCACAACACCCGAAGAGGGGCAGGAGAGGGGGCCAAGACAACCCTCACTAACCCCAGGGAGTCGCACATGAGCCCCCCCCCCCCCCATCACCACAACAAGGTGCCATTTTGGAGGGTTCCACCATTATGAGTTAGCCACTGCAATTTGTTTTTAAATGCGACTTGCTGAAAGGACTCTCATTTTATGGACATATTGTATGATTAAAAATAAAAGGATTATAGAAAAAAAAATCAAGCCAGCCTCGGGAAATAATTTTATTGTAGGACAGATGGATAAAAACTTAAGTACATATGTCTGGACATCTCAATGACAATTGCCCAAATTCTAAAACAACACTAGAGTTAAGGCAATTCAGCTGTTTCATTACAAGAGAATTATTTGCAATACCTAGTTCTATAATTTACCAGCGTTGTCCAAGAAAAAGGGCCAAAACAACAACAGTTTATTTGTACATAAACTAGAGGTTCTGGTTTCTAAATGTGACTGTTTAATCAGGAAGAAATAGAATATAGTGAATATGAATTCTAAGATTGCTAATTTTCCTTACAAGCGATGTCCACAAGTATAATCATTCCACTGACCTACTCGTGTTAATACACTTCATCGTCTTTTTTTAACAATAAAATTGGTATACAGTATATTGAACTGTAACATGAGATAATGGTATGATATACTACACTTACTGCAAGAAACTAATCAAATTAATTTAAGCTCAAAGTTAACTAAATGGTCATGTCACTTACATGGATGGCATTATTTGGTGCCTGATGCAACCATTTCCCTCCCAAATACAGCTATTATATAATTACACAACTACTATACAGCACAATCTCTTCTAGACACTCCTAAACCAGTAGGAATGTGAAAGATAATCGGTTGTAATATCATCAAGCATTCTGATCCCTCTATGCTTATGTTATCATTGTTGCATATTGGAAACAAAGAGAGCAGCTACTAAAAGTCAAATTCGGACTAGCACGGAGTGAAAAAAAAATATTAAGACTTCACTTTCACAGATGCAGGAGGTCAGGTTATATAATTCTCCCCCCACCCCTCATTTATTTCCTGCCCCATTTATCATTGAAATTTGTATCATACTTTCTTGGTGCAATAAGATTATCAATCACTGAATTTACATGTAATATTCATGTACAGTGCACAGTATTAAATTAATTAATATACTACACTGGAGAATGATTTTATTATATAAATCTCTTGTACTGCAAAAGGAACTTATCTGATACAAACCCCTAGAATGGCATCAAATATGACAACTGATAGCTCAATATAATACTCCAAGTCCTGCAGAGACATAACTAAGCAATGGACTAAATTTCTTAGCACTATTTTAATTTATAAACTGTAACCTGGACACCAACAATTTGGAGTGTGAGTGCATATGAGACAAAAATGTACAATACTGCTTGTTACTGAAACATTACCAGTTACACAACTTGTCTTGGCACTAAATTGGCACTGTAACAAAAGTCATCAATACTGTCAACAGGATGACCGACATAACGCTGAAGGGAGAACAAAGGACATGTGGAAAATCTACACCAAGAATTGCAACTAAAGATAAATCACTAGCAGTATACTGGAACATAATGGAAGATACTGTATAGTATTCTGTGTATTAGTCACTTGAGATTCCAGATCCTTAAGGATACATACAGTATTTACTTGTATGATTTGTGTTCTTGCCTAGTTCTGAAGTATACACAAAAATATACAGAACAGGTGTCTTACTCTAGACAAACTATATACAAAGGAATAATGGAGTTGGGAAAAAATGGCTCAGGTTGGTGATATACAGTGTTGCCAAATGCCTGACTATAGGAGACGTGATCTTTACAATGATTCCCATCTGGCAACACAGGTGATATGGCATGAGTATGACATCAACTCTGAACAATCCTTAGGTCACTCACAGAAATGAGTCCACAGCTACAAACAATTTCTACGTCCCAGGAGTTTCCACATTTAGAATCCAACATAGATTCTAGTGAGATTCACTCACAATTACTGGAGATTTAATTACAATAGCTAAAACTAGTTTAAATATCTTAAAATCATACTTATTTTTAATACGACTAAATGAGGGCTGCTTATAGTAAGAAATGACTTGTCATTTTTAATCAAATGCCTGTAATACATTACCTACAATTTATCACTGTTATTGGAAATTAAATGTCCTGAAATTTGTTCAAGAGGTAAGCAGCCACAAGAACTGTTTCATACTATGGGCCCCAGACTAAATTTTGTACGCCTGAAGTATTACACACAAACACTCAAGGGACACGCGACTGTATCACAGGTTTTGAAGGGTGTGGGTGCACGCACATGTTCACTCTCGTACATGCTCAGCAGCTGGACCCACTTTAAACACCCGTACATGTGTCAAATGTGAGGTGCATCACCTCTAGATTTGTTACACTTATCAATGAGTTCGTGAAATTTGCACAGCATATATCACTTCACTTTTAAAATACACAATGATTCAGTTGACAATATATACTTTTTAATGTAAAATGTATTTAAAACCATGTTTTACTATGAGAACACTACAGCTTTTCCTTGCATGGAATAGTCTGAAACTAAGTACAGTACTCAACATTAGTTCTGAACAATTAATGAATAATTAACATATTAATAATCCAGAAGATGGTAGTCTATGTTTCACTTAGTGGTATGTCTAGCCCATGCCATACGTTGCAGCTGAGCTAATGTCTCCTGCCGGGAGACTCGTTCACTGGCAGTACGTGTAATGGGGCCATTCAAGTTCCTGGGTGTGCCAAGGGGTGTAGGCCCATATGGACCATATGTAACAGCATCTTCTGGCACTTGCGCCAAGCGTTGAGATTCCATGGAGTAGAGCTGTGCCACAGCCTGTGTAACACTCTCCCCTGAAGACTGGCCACTGCTGTCTCGCTTGGGGTCACTCTCGCTGCTGAGGGACGGGGTACTGCTGCACTCATCGTAGCGCTGGCCTGCCCTGGACCGGAGTACTCCTTGCAGCTTAGAATTCATGAGAGGTTCCTGTTGGGGCACAGCCAGGGTTACTCCCCCAGCAATGATTCCCTCACTTCCCCAGACAGGTAAAGGGTGTATTAGTGATCCCACTTTTGTTCCACGAGGCGAGTGTTCCCGTGACTGAGAAATAGAGCTGGACTCGTATTGGGTTCCAATAGGTGGCTGATGAGCTCCTAAGAGGCAGTTTGCAGAATTGACTGGGGATGAAGGTGATGGGAAAAGGAAGGTACGATGAGCTATGCTAGGTGAGGGTGTGGGTGGGAGTTCATGGGAGCAGTACAGGAGGGATGCCGGACCTCCAAGATCCAACGCCGCCGCTAACTGGCTACTGTGGCCAGGGCTGGCATCGGTCACCAAGAGCTGGCCAGAGAGAGAGCATGAGTTGGCCACTCGTAGCAGCAGCCACTACACACCATGCTTCTGCAAACAAAAAATACTACTGAGCCATGCATACCTCATCACCAGGTTATGATGCCATGTGAACCTCTGAGCTCGATATCCAAGGTGGAGGTCAGTTGTTAGGCTCTACTGTAGCAGTTAGTCACATCAATGTTAAATACCAAAATACTATAGGAATTAACAACACAGCAGTATAAAAATATCTGCACACATCATGCAACCTACACAATATAACTAAGTGACATTCACTAGAAGAAATATAGATACAGTACTTCAAAATATTTACTTCTGCTACAGCTAATACATTCTACCATAATAATTCTACAACTACTGTTGCAGTGCTTGTTTTAAAATAAGGGCTATAAAAATATATAAAGAAAAAACATTACAGCACTGTAATGCATAACCAGCACTGTACACCTGGTTATATGGTTCCCACTGTTGAAGATGGGAAGCCTATGAAGCTAACTAACCCTAGCAGTTGCCTAACTTCTGAAAGAACAACTGCTAGGTGAACAAAGGCATCAGATAAAAGGAAACGTGCCCAAATGTCTAGCCTGCCACAGGAATCAAACCTGTTCCCTTTCAACTACAATCTAACTGTGATATTGCAGCGAGTTGTTACTATGGATGACAGAGTGCGAGCGTGTTCATTTATCTAGGATACTGTATGTTATAATGTAAATGTAATAATAGAGTAAGAGATTATTAAATAGTTTTTAATAATCTGTACCAACATTTACTATATTACTCCATTTTCTCCAGGCTGATACTGCACCTAGTATTTACTCCATATGACACTAATCATGAATTTGCCCAATCTAAAAACTCTGAATCCACAAGGAGGACAACCATAGTTATTAGACTGGACCCCAAGTCACAAAGATGATACTGGTATGCAATTTGGTTGTTAATTTATGATATATAAAGAAGGAAAGTAAATAAGTAAAAAGTTTAAATGAAGAAATAGCAAGTAAACACATTTAAGCAATCTAGAAATGTATTAAATATGTACACTTGTATAAACTTGTATTTCTATTCATTTACTGTGTGGTGATGCTTGTTTATCTGTAATTACCCAAGTATAATTACCTAAGTGTAGTTACAGGATGAAAGCTATGCTTGTGATGTCCCCTCTTCCCTGTGATGCTGAACTACCTACAATTTTGGCATCCATTACCTCCCTAAACTTGTTTCAACTGTCCACCACTCTGCAAAAGTGAACTGTCTAACATTTTTAGGGCAGCTTTGTTTCCTTCTGGTTATCTTGAGATGATTTTGGGGCTTTAGTGTCCCTGCGGCCCGGTCCTCGACCAGGCTTCCACCCCCAGGAAGCAGCCCGTGACAGCTGACTAACACCCAGGTACCTATTTTACTGCTACGTAACAGGAGCATAGGGTGAAAGAAACTCTGCCCGTTGTTTCTCGCCGGCGCCTGGGATCGAACCCAGGACCACAGGATCACAAGTCCAGTGTGCTGTCTGCTTGGCCGACCGGCTCCCATAGTCCCTAGCTTAAATATAGGACTTCTTGTTCTTGAAGTTCCAGGTTTCAAGAATTCTTTGTCAATCTTGTCAATTCCTGTTACTATTTTATACGTGGTGATTACATTGCCTCATTCTTTTAGCTTTGACATAGAAGAGCCTTATAGCTCTTGTCTTTCAGTTCCAAAACCCACTTAGTTGTATATCTTTGCATCTTTTCCAGTTTATTGATCTGCTTCTTGAGATATGGGCACCAAACAATTGCTGCATATTCCAACTTTGGTCTGGCAAAGGTGAAGAACTTCTTTAATATTTTGTCATCCATATACTTAAAAACGATTCTGAAGTTAGAAAGCATAGCATAGGCTCCTTGCATACTGTTCTTTATGCGAGCCTCAGGTGAATGTTTTCCGTCCAAAACCACCGCTAAATCTCTATCAGAGTTCTTTGAAGTCTTTTAACATAATTTGCAAGGTCTGTGGCCTATTTTTTCCTATTTTTATTTCAAGTCCTTTTCCTATAATGTGAATAAATGAAACATAACATGGCATTTATTCACATACAATTCCATCTGCCAAGTATTGCTCCATATACAGTATTTAGTTTGTCCAGGTCATCTTGAAGGACATGACAATCGTCTAAGCTTCTTATTCACATATTTCTGTGTTCCTTTTGGTAGATCATTAATAAATATGATGAACATTACTAGTGCAAGAACTGAACCCTGTAGTACTTCGCTAGTAAGATTTCTCCAGTCTGATACATTGCCTTCGATTACCGCCTTCAATTTTTAATGTCAGAAAATTTTTCTTCCATGTCGGAAGTGTTTCTGTCACCCCCTCCAGTATGATCCAGCTTCTAGAACAACCTCTTATGTGGGACATTGTCAAAAGCCTTTTTAGGTCCAGTTAAATGCAGTCAACCCAACAGTTTCTTTCCTGTAAAATCTCTGTGGATCATAGAAACTAAGTAGATTTCTTACACAGGATTGAAAGCCATACTGTCTCTTGTTTTATATCATTTCTCTCCAGGTGTTCTACCTATTTGGTTTTAATTAACTTTTATAAGTGTTATGACTAGTGTACCATGCTAGTCAGCAATAATTTAGAGGGGTCTTCTCTACCACCTTTTTTGTAGATTGGAACTATGTTTGCCTTTTACATCATTAGGTTTGTCTTTTACCACATATCTGCTTAGATTTCTGTACATGAAAATGCGTGAAAAATCAATTGAAGTGGAATGCTCAGCTCAGATGCACTTTATCTCAGAACCAAAGGTGAAATTCCATCTGGGCTAACATTGTTTCAACCTAGCTCCTTGAGCCATTTTTCCACTTCATCTTGAGATACCTCTATGAACTATGTTGTTCTCTGAAATCCATATTGTGTCTGGTTCTCTGAAAACCACATTTTAAACAAACATTTTGGAACTGTTCATTTAGCATTTCACACATTTCTTTTTCATTCTCTGTAAATTTGTTTTCAATTTTTAACCTCTGGATTTTATCCTTCAGCTGCAATTTGTTGCAATTTGTTTGTAATGAATTTATAGACCAGACCTGGTTTTGTTTTATATTTATCCACTATTCCTGACTCAAAATTTCTTTCTACCTCTCTTCTCACTGCCGTGTAGTTGTTTGTTGCTTGTTTGTATCACTGGTATGTTTGAGGGTTTGGTCTCTTCCTATATTGATTACATTTTTTTTGTCTTTTGTTCTCTGAGCTCTTGTAATTTCTTTTGAGCCTGGCTTGTTTTCTAGTTCTACATCTATGTTTTGCTGTAAATTTTGAGGTCTTCTTCATATATCTCAGAAAATATAGTATGTCTTAATTATTTATGCCATATATAAATTGCCCATTCATATAATGAACGGACATTTTATTTCAATATTCACGGTATTTCGCTATATTGTTCCCCTTTTTACTACTGGCTGATTCCTCCCCACCCGTTGAAAGTGAGAATGTGGTAATCATAATGTAATGTAAATGCAAAGCTCATTCTTTTTCCATATGAAACCTGACGTCCTACTCTAATACTGTAATCAGAAATGTAATGCCGTGTAATATAATCATGAACAAAAATTTAGGTGTTATCTTTGTCCTTGTCTGTGTTTAACCAGGTCATCTACATAAAGATCTAAAAAAACATACTTTATTGAAATTTAAATACAGTAGCTCCAAAGTGAATTTCTTCAACTTTAGAAAAGAAGTGACAATTGCCCCAAGAAGAAATTTAACTTGTGTCAAAACAGTGTGATGGGCCCTTTTCAATAGTCTTTACAGTTTTGTGTAAACCCCGTGTAAAACTAATCAAGAGAATGTTTAGCATATTAGTTTATTATATTTGTGTATTTATCATAACAAATGTACAACACAGTCTCACAGAAAAACAAGAACCACCACACTCCAGTAAATTATCTTCCGTAGCAACCCACCATTTCATTAGTCTAGGTATACCGTGCTTCTCCTGAACTGTCACACTCGGTACACACTCGCTCACTCCTTATTAACTGCTACCACACAGGTTTGGCCCCTACCATATCTTGCAAGCTGTTTACACTATCTCTGCTTCCTCACACTCGCCAGAGTCACCCATTTTCTTCCTGACCTTTATCTCCTCCACCCCTCAAATCAACTCCAATATTCACTATCAGTCTTCCATTAATTTAACATGCCCAAACCATCTCTGTCTCATCAATCGTGTGATGTAAAAACCTTTGCACTCCACACCTCTATGACATCCTCTTTCTTTACTATGTTCTCTAACCACAACCACTTCTCAGATTGTTAATTTTTACTCATCTAATTTTATATTTTTCTCATTCATACTAGATTGTTGTCTCGCATCTATATACTGGAGAAGGTTCATCACACCTTTACATTGTACAGTATACAAAACAACTGAAATAGCTGCTATTTAATATATAGTAATTCATTTGGAAATTCTGTGTGTGTATAGTGTAATGTTAGTAACCCATTTATTATAACTACGCAGTTAGCCAAATATTTTTTATCTTGTAACAATTCTATTGTTACGTAAAGTATGGTGATAATCTACTCGCTACAATCTATTCATACTCGTATATTTATAATTAGAAAGTTACTAACTGTAAATGTGGAATATGTGCAATCACAAATGCAGTACTGTATCTACAAAATACTTTGGGAATTTCTATTCTACTCCAGTATTGATCAGATATAAATCTCTATCAGTGAGGTAGCAAGTCATGTGCTATTAATTTCAAATGTTTACAAAATGTCATCTGTTGTTTAAAATGCATTTTAAAATTGTTTATCATAATATCTTTCAATATTTATGAAAAATAAAGATCTATGTAACAACTATTTACACAACACACTAAATGCAATAAGATACATTTGCTATCACCGCAACTTCTTTTAGGAGTAAAGTTGATAAGCTGATAATTTTAAGTATTTTACTAGAGGGGTTTTGATGAACTGGTATTATGAAACAGTGAAAGAATCACATCACTACTTGCTCAAAATATTGTTCAAGCACATGTCATGTTCCTTTATAGACTTATATCTGTGAACTGGTAGTTTATCTAATACACTCAGCTATCACATACATAAAAGGGCAGGGAGAATACCAATCCATTCTAGTTACATATTCTCAGGAGCTAAATGCCTCTTAGGGATCATTACAAATTATTTTAAGGGAAATCAAATTCCAAATTGTGTGTGTTTAAAACAAAGTATATAAATACAAATTGTGCAACGATACAAACTTATCTACGTGTAAAAAAAAAAATAAAAAAATTCCCCAATTTATAAACAAAAAATTTATGAATGCTACTAAACTTAATAAATATAAGCTGATTTATTGTTAAAATGCCAAACAACAAATTAGGAAAACCATAACAAATAAAAAACACTGTACAAAACAACAGGCTGTCATAGTATTTAACTTATAATAATAAATGGATATCAATCAACAATTCAACTAAATTTACTTTAAATATCTATATCAATATTTTTGTGTGCTGAGACATTGTAAATGTACTTTATTATTAGTTCAAGATACTTTACCTACAAAAATGAAAATTTAAATTGATGTTTTCACCTTTGCATTAATAAGATTAGAAAAGTGTGTACCTGTGACTTTATCTCAGGCGGTGTAGGGAGTAGATGTGTAGTTCCCGTGATGCCGCCACTACCTGCCAGCTTCAACTCCATATCACGAACTTGGAGAACCAAGGCTTGAATATGTTCTAGTAGCTCCTTATTATGAACTAAGAGTTGATGGGTACGAGCCTAAAATGAAAAGGAAATTAGGTACCACTTGGTTTCAACCTTAATGTCTATTGGGCAAAGATGCCAAGGACACACAACTTACTGAAATGAAGTTGAATTCAATAACATTTACTGTAATGTCCATTCCCACTTTTCTCTCTTTTTTTTTATTGACAGTTTTACATATCAAAAAGAAAGATGTTAACCTGTTATTATAGACATATACAGTTGGTAAAGTGAGAAAGTTTAACTTGTAAAATTTCAAAATTATTTTTTTAATACAACCGATTATGAAAATAAATACTGTACAGGTACTGTACTGTATAAATTTTCCAAAAATTAAGTTTGCTTTGTAAATACTGTATGGTATATAGAGTATTAACACTATTATAAAAATGCAATACCTACCTGAGCTTCAAGTCGTGCTGCCGTCTCTGCTGCCAATTGGTCTCGCAAAAGGTGAACTTGAGAGACTGCTGCTTGAGTCTGTTGCTGCTGCTGTTCAAGCTGTTCTCGTAATAGTTGTAATTCATGATGTACCGAGAGCGGTGTGCCCGCCATGGGTAACGAGTCTCCCGAGGGCAAGGGTTCACTAAGTGGAGAGGTGTAAGTCTCACCACCACCCTGTGAAAACAATGATTATTACCATATTACAAAAACTCCTTGAATGCTGATGAATTAAATATATTCAGCATTTTGTTTAAATATAATATAAAACAAAGTCACCATCGATGAGGTTGTCCAATGTTTATACTGATTGAAACCAATTTTCTAGCCAGGTTTCTTTTTGTAAACTGGACATAATGCTTAGTGTTGCACAATGATTTTGGAGCACATTTAACAAAGATTTGCATGGTATCACATATGAGTGGACCAGAAAAAAAATTAAATAGAATTTCATCTACACGGACAGACTTTCACCTATACAAGTATATTATGTCAGTTTCAAACAAAGTTTATATGACAAAACAATCTGGTGTGTGTTCAGGACAACATACTGTACAGTGTACTCTGTATATGTAAGAGAATATCTGTGTGTGTCTGAATGAGGTTCAAAGATAGATACTTGGTGCTAGCCTCCCCCAATTTTGCAGGATGAATTTTCTGGGTAAAAGAACAAGTATAGTCTGGTTGGGATTGGTCCTATTGGTCAAGAGAGGGTGTTGGGACCAATAGTGATCCCCACCTCCCATCCTTGCAATAAGTGTTAGATAGCCTAGTCCTTAGATTTCTTCATGCAAAAACAATGAATTTTAGACCTTTCAGACCTGCAGAAATGAGGTACCTGAATTGTGCTTGAATGGGGTTCTGGGAATTCTTCTACTCCCCAAGCCCGGCTTGGGGCCAGGCTTGACTTTTGAGAGCTTGGTCCAACAGCCTGTTGCTTGGAACAGCCCACAGACTCTCATATCCAACACAGCCCGGATGGTCCAGCACTTCTTTAAGAAAACTATCTAGTTTTCTCTTGAAGACGTTCATGGTTGTTCCAGCAATATTTCTTATAATTGCTGGGAGTATGTTGAACAACCGTGGACCTCTGATCACACAGTGTTCTCTGATTGTGCCTATGGCATCCCTGCTCTCCACTGGTTCTATTCTGCATTTTCTTCAATATAGTTCACATCAGTATGTTGTTATTTTACTGTGTAGATTTGGGACCTGGCCCTCCAGTATTTTCCATGTACTAATGTGTATATATTATTTTACATCTCTCTTGTCTCCTTTCTAGGGAGTACCTGCTTGATACCTGCTTGATGGAGTTCTGGGAGTTCTTCTACTCCCCAAGCCCGGCCCGAGGCCAGGCTCGACTTGTGAGAGAGTGGTCCACCAGGCTGTTGCTTGGAGCGGCCCACAGGGCCACATTCCCACCACAGTCCGGCTGATCCGGAACGTCTCTTAGAAAACAGTCCAGTTTTCTCTTGAAGATGTCCACGGTTGTTCCGGCAATATTTCTTATAGTCGCTGGGAGGACGTTGAACAACTGCGGACCTCTGATGTTAATAGTACATTTGTATTGATGTAGTACTGATGTAGTACATAGGGAGAGCTTTGAGACGATCCCAAAAATTTAGGTGCCTTATCGTGACTATGTATGCTGTATATGTTCTTGGTATTCCCTCAATTTCAGCAACCCTTTCTGCTCTGAAGGGGGAAGAGAGTATTGATTGAGCAGTACTCAAGATGGGCCACCACAAGTGATTTGAATAGTACAACCATTGTGATGGGATCCCTGGATTTGAAGGTTCTTGTAATCCATCCTATAATTTTTCTGGCCGACGCAAATGGCGCGTGAGCTTGGTTATGTTCCCTAAATGTTAGGTTGTCAGACATTATTCCCAGTTCCTTTACATGCTGCATACCTACTATGGGCACATTTGATTGTTTTGTACCCTTTATTTTGTTTAAGGTTCTTATTTTTACCATGCCTAAGTATCTGGAACGTTGCAGTTACTTCATTAACTCTCGTGTTCTTGATGATATCCTCAAAACTCATCCAGAGTTTGCCAGTGCAGACTACTGCTCATATGGCCTATATATATATATATATATATGACTGACTATCCTGTGTGATGGGGATTTTTAGCATATAGCTAGTTTTTGACAAAAAATTGAAGATTCATTATTTTCGAGTGAAGAAACTTAGATGATTGCCATGCCTTTCAAGAAGATCTGAATCAAATAAGTGTATGGAGTAACACTTGGCAGAAGGAATTTAATGTGAACAAATGCCATGATATGGAATGTGGATTAGGAAAAATAGACCACACACAACCCACAATTTATGAGAAAAAGCTTTCAAAAAATCTAAGAGATCTAGAGGGGGTTCTGGATAAAACCTCATCTGAGGATCACAAAGAACTTTGTGTGAAGACTGTATGCTATGCTTTCCAACTTTAGTATCGCTTTTAAATACATGGATGGCAAAATGTTAAAGAAATTATTCACAACTTTATGAGACCAAAGTTGGAATAAGTAACAGTTATATGGTACCCACTTCGTAAAAAGCATGTCACTAAACTAGGAAAGGGGCAAAGACATACAACTAAATGGCTTTTGGAACTGAAAAATCCAATCTACAAAGATATTTGAAGCATTAAATATACCAAAGCTAGAAGATAAGAGAAAAAGTAGTGATATGATCACTACTGTACTTTTCTACTTATCAACTAAAAAAAAAAATACTATTTCATCAATAGTACTTACAAGATTAAGATTTCTTACCTTAGAAAGAATGTCTGAACCAACTGGAGGGGCAAGTGGCTCAAGTTTGTTGGGCCGTTGTAGTAAGTGCTCAACAGATTCTTCATTGATCGAGTCTGAAGGAGTAAGGGTAACTAGGTCTTCCTGAGTGCTCTCGGTGTCCAAGAGATCTGTTGTTGGGGGGGAAAGGTTAACAGTAAATTAATATTATTGAGGTTGTGTGTTCTAAACCAAAACAAATTAATTTTAGGTCAAGATAACATAATCAACTGAAAGCATCCAACTTGCATACACATGTATATTCATATAACTAAAGGCTCAGGGATAAGTAGATGCAAAAATAGCTTAACTATAAATAATCTGAGCAGGTGATATGGCCTAAATACAAGTAAAAATTAATCATTGACAACTTCAGAGAAATAGACTGAGATAGGTTTTGCTCCAGGAAGGAGTGAGATCTAACTTGGTTGAAGATAAGCAAAATCTTAATGCAGCATAACTATGAGGACATGGGAAGGGAAGGAAATTATCAGAGAAAAGCTCCAAGCCATTACGACTATATAGCATTTGGAAGGGGTCAGGATAAGGATTTGGGATGGGACGGAGGGAAGGAATGATACCCATCCACTTGGACGGTTGGGGATTGAATGCCGACCTGCATGAAACAAGACCGTCGCTCTACTGTCCAGCCCAAGTGGTTGGACATGGGGAAAAGAGAAAGAAATCTACTAAAATAGACTTGGCTAGGTCTTCACCAAAAGTCATAGTTTTTAACTACCTATTGATGATGAAGACCATGGAGAAAAAAGAGGAAGGGATTATAAGACTAAAAAATAAATTAACTAAGAAATAAATGTAAAACAATGCAGGACATGATGAATGCCACTAGGAAATTTTGGGAAACTGTAAGAAGATACATATAAATACTTAAACATCTATCTTACAAGAAATCACCTCATTGTTGGCAAAGGGGTGCCTCAGAGCAAAACAATAAGTAAATAAATATAATAGAAACAGTGACTATATGATACAGGAAAAACAAAGTTTCAAAATGATGAGGAATGAGTACCATATATAGGTGTAAGACCATAAAACAGGAAAACAGCATGAAATTGACATTGTTTAGGACAAAAGAACAATAAAAACTTTAGCTCATCCTTATCAATTAAAATAACAGTAAATGTTCTAGAAGATGGTATACAGAAACTGACAAAGAAGTGTGTGAAGTACTCAAACAATTTATTGCTATTTACACGGAACAGCTACTGAACACAGGGAAATAAGTTCGACTAGACAGGTGGAAATAGGGAGGAAATGTAGGCATGATAAGAGCCCAATAGGCTCAAGAACCTGTACACCAGTTGATTGACAGTCGAGAGGTGGAAACAAAAACCCAAAGCTCAACCCCATGCAAGCACAACTAGGCGAGTATAATAGTATTGTGGCAGTACAAATCCAAAGGGAGGAACTGGATGAAATGGGCAACAGTGTTATATAACATTTTCCCGTACTGTATGTTGATCATACATGGAGTGCATTCTAGAAGTTTGCCTATTCCCAAGCCTGGCCCATAGGCCTGGTTTGACTTGTGATAACTTGGTCCAACATTATTGTTTGAAGTGGCCTGTAGGCCAACAAGCAGTTGGTCCGATATTTCTTGCAGGAGCATGTATAATTTTTTCTTGAGGAAGTCCACTTTTGTTCTAGCAATATTTTTTATGCTTGCTGAGAGGGTATTTAACAGCCATATACCTTTGTTGTCCATACAGTATTTTCTGTGACTATGGCACCTCTACTCTTTACTGACTATTCTGAATATCCTACTATACTCTTCACTCTAATGAATAATATGGTATGAAATATTATTTTACCATGTAAATGAAACCTCATCTTGCAAATGCACAGTAATGAAAACAGAGCAGCAGCAAGAAGTTCCATTTCTTATGAAATGAGAACCGACTCGCTGAATCCGTAATGAAGAATCAGAAGAACAATCTAACTCCCAGCCGAGCACCAGAGGCAAACTACAGAGAAACCATCATCAGAAAATGCAAAAGTGGTAAACATAAGAATAGCATATAGAAATCTACGAAGCAGGCAGATGTGCGAGGCCAATTTTAGAGTATGACGTCCAAGTGGAAAAAAAATAACTTCTAGGTAAACCAAACCAAACTATACAAATCCCTGACGTTTGCAACGGCGGTGAGGTCGAGGATCTAGTTACACTTGAGAACAGATACAACAGAGGAGACATAATAATAGCTTATAAGAGTCTCTGGGAACTGGTAAGGTCTATAAGGAAGATATGTCCAGAATGAAACAGTACAACACGAGAGAATAGATGGAAATTGGAATTACAGATCAGCCATGTGGATAAGATGATGTTCAGCGTAAGAGTAATGAGCAAATGAAATGGGCTCAAAGGAAAGATAATACGATAAACAGTTTAAAAAGTTTATATGATGAGAAACATGAGTTAAGGCTCGACCCTGTAAGAACAGGCTAAGAGTAATACTGTACTAAGAGTAATACATGTGTACTCTGTAAGAACAGAGTACACATGTGTAAGTGTAGGTTATTCATGCGTATACTCTCTCAGCACAACGATGAATGCATTGAACATGCAAGAAAATTAAGAATAGCTAGTTGTTAATTATATTCCAACATAGAAAAATCAAAGTCATAGTATAAAGAGAAGCAATCTCACCTTTCTTGAGTTTTTCTGTGGAGGCGTCTGAGCCATGTTCACTGGCTTCGTCTTCGGCGGGTTCTGGGGACGGTGGAGTGTCCTTCACTGAGATCTTGTGACACACCTCGAACGCCTGACCCACTGTCCTAACTATCCTCATTGCCTGACTCTGTGGATCAAGAAATGTGAAATTAGTTTTGAACCGTTTGTTCCACCTCCAATGAGTAATGGGTGCACCTGCGTTGGCGAAGATCGACTTTACCCCAGGAAGACTGAAGCTTGCCAAGACTTTAACTGTCACCGTCTTAGTGCACCGTGCCACCTGCTCCTGGCGAGTAGGCACTCGTGTTATGCTTACCTGGCTCCTGCTTTGTGCTGTTTACTCTGACCTCAACCACTGACTTGCCCTCTGATCCATGTGGTGACTTAACTTGTATCTAACTTACCTCCAGGTCGATGTCTTCAAGGCTAACTGCAGAGGCTGTGTCATTGTGATAACTGCGTGGGCGACCGTTCACCACTCCTCTCTCCGTCAGGAAGGTCACTGCTTGCTGTATTGGTGATGACCTTTGTTTTTTCAACGAACTGTTTCGAGAAGCAGGTTTGGTAGGCTTTGCGTGACTCGTTCCCTTACTGCCACTTGGAGGAAGGGACTTCCCTGAAGGTGAGGGTGGCTGAGATGACCCGCTTCTATTATGATGTGTGGGCGGTTGTGTGAATGATGATCTTGCAGGGGAGGAAGCCAATGGACTGGTAACATACTTTGCGGAGGGCGGGGGAGTTTGCTGGCTGGCGGACATCTTGAGTGATGGAGCATGAGATGAACCAGTCTTTCCTGAGGGTGTGCAGGGCTGAGTGGGCTCTGTCTTACTGGTGAGTGCTGACGGTTGGCTGCTGGGCCACGCCCGTACCGGGGGTGTGGCGAGCTGGCTACAGGCTGTGTGGGTGGGGCTTGTGGGTGGGGTTAATATGGGTGTTGCGGGCCCAGCCAAAATCCCCGGTGCAGAGGTGGGACCAAGGAGACCTGGGTTGCCCACCATCGCAGTTACACCAGACACAGTTCCAGACGACGTAACACAATGAGTGCCGGTCACGTTAGCTAAACCTGGGACTCCACCTAGGGCACTGAAGCCACCCAAGCCCACGATGCCAGCTATGCTGTGAGGGCGGCCAAATTGCTGTCTTGGTGAATGTTGGTGCTGCTGCGTATGATTGAGTAGAACCGAGTGTAAGGCCACACCCTGGTGTCTGCGAGGAAGTGTAGCAGCGTGTCCACCATTCCTGGAGGAAGTCACCACTTCGGGTTCACGGAAGGAAAGTTTCTTGCGAGGACGGTCGTCTGGGACGCACATCGCGGCGTCTGTCCCCCCGTGCTGCTTCAGCATGGCGGCGGGGGACAGGCTGAGAGTGGTGGACGGGCAGGGGCGTCCTCTGGCCGCTGACAGGCATGGGCGTCTCCGTCATGGGTAACGTGGCGGTCTGCCCACGCCCCACCACAGCCACACGGCCGCCTCCACCATCACCCACTGCTCCTTGCTTGCACTCCCCTAGTCTTGACCAAGGGTGTGCTCGCCGTAGCCTTCCACGCCTCAACTACTTTATTTAAAAATCAGCAAATATTGCTCACTCGCTGTTCATTATATAGAACTTAGGTCTCAGTATTTAAATTCTATCTACCTTAATGTCATATTAGCACAGTTCTTTTAGGCTTCATCTGTAAAATTCACCAAATCATTAAATAGTATAACTTTCCTATCCACAAAGAAGGACAAATCTACACACACACACACACACATGATGCAGAAGTCTTTTTTTTTAACTTTGAGACGTGAACCAACAGCCAGGAGCACAACATGCAGGTCGACTGGCTGTTAATGCTGCTTGTTCCAGGGACTTGTTGCCTCAATGAATTGATATATATTTCTATTGTCAGAGACAGAAAGCCTATTCTTAAGGGGGGGGGAGGGCCTTGATAAACCTAAGCCGACTACTGACCTTTCTTAGGTAGCAACCAACAGGAGGCCTGGTCGACGACCGAGCCGCGGGGACGCTAAGCCCCGGAAGCACCTCAAGGTAAGGTAACAGGTCAACTTTTGTACCACCGTGGCCGAGTCGGTTAAGGCAGGCGGTTGGACATCAAATCGCGAGTTCAATGCACTCCATTGCCTCAAAACAATTTCCATTGATATACCACGCTATTGTGATATCCTTGCGACCCATACTACTATTAGTGACCGCTATAGCTTCTGTGGATAACAGTAAGTTACGCAATATTCAAATTTATAAAACTTTTTCGTGCCCAGGTACTGTCCAATGCCAGAGGCGTTATTCCTCCAAGGAGTGCCGGCCCAACCGGGCTGTGGTGGGTATGTGGGCCTGCGGGCCGCTCCAAGCAACAGCCTGGTGGACCAAACTCTCACAAGTCAAGCCTGGCTTAGGGAGTAGAACAACTCCCAGAACCCCATCAACCAGGCCCATGGGACGTCACGTGGCCATGTGCTTTTGTTTGCATGTGGGTTGGACCATGGTAAACAGCCACAGTACCCAAATTCCAGCGCAGTGTCACAAGACAATACTCGAGTTGTGCGTAGCATAATAGCTAACAAACGGTATAGCAAATTAGTTGATAGACCTTTAATAAACAATCGATAGATCTGGAGGAATCTGACGAGAAACAAAAAAATAATACGTACTCTACTTTTATATTACGTTTTGAACCGTGCGTTTGTACATGTCCTGGGGGGGGGTAGACATAGCCTAAGCTACTATCCCTTTGAGATGTATTTCTTTCTTGTCTCAATAAACATACTTGAACTTGTACATGTCGTTGTGCATGTATGCAATGCTATATAATACAAATATATGTATAGTACAAACTGATGGCAATGTGGTGTTGTCAGTATTAATTAGTGTACTTGGCCGAGAGGCGTGTGATTGTTTAACAAACTTCCATACGCATCATTATCCTCAGTAAGAGCAATACGAGTCTCTGGTGTGACGTCCAGTCATCAATATAAGGAATTTGGTGCTTTTGATGATGTTCATTTACATGTTAATCAACTGTTAAAACTATACAGTCACATGGCGGACTAGAAGGCTTTATACGAGGCTGTATGGCATACACGAGTTGTAGTTGCAGCAATTACTTGCAATTATACAAAGTTGCAGCAGTTGTATATGTAAACTCTCCATAGAATACAAGACTAATCTTCCCCAAACTAACCTAACTAAACTAAACATTACTAAACATATCCTGGCCAGCTCTCTCCTGTTGACACTTATCTGGCTAATGAGCTTTTCAAGTGCGTATGCAATAATGTGGAAACTAGATATTATATTAAATATTATATAAATATTATATAGATCGACAACATGTACATATTGATGAAGCGACATAAAGCAAAAAAAGATAAGCCTGCAAACTATCATTTCTTAATACTGAAGATGATCAATTATCAGTTTGTCCGGTGAGTAGGCTACAGCCTATCGACCAGTTTTTATTTAATGGTTTATTTTGATTGTTTATTATTTCATACGCGCTATGGGCAGATGACTGACGTAATCTGGTGAAACTACTCCCTTAGCCTGTGTTCATCCACACTCCGGCCCACCCCCAAACACATACAGTATTCATACATTTTACGTATTTATTCACATACAAGATACAATGGGTTGTTATGGGGGGTACATATGCTTGTGGATTAGTACAGTCTTGCAGGCCAATAGCACGCAGAGCGTTCATAATTGATATATTCTCATGCATAAACAATTATACTGGAATATTAGAATTTGGCGTATAGACCTAGTGTAGGTCTGGTTAGATGATTCGGTTCTGTTGGAAATTGTGTGTGTTAGTGAGTGGTGCGTGAATGGTTTATCGCTCGTAAACTGGGGGTTTGGTGGCGTGATTAACGAGAATTTGGTCTCTGCTCATGAGGACGGGCTGCTGCTTGCTGCTGCCGCTGAGGCTGCTGTTGTTGCTTGCTGCTCCTGCCGCTGTTTCCTGCCGTTGCTTGCTGCTGCTGCTGCTGGTGTAGTTAAACCAAAATGGTCATATGACGGAACACAAAATCATAACCACACCTTACCGATTCTAGCTAGCTCGATTCCCGATTACCGATACACCTAGCTCGATTCTGCAAGAACAAATGCTAAATACAGAGGCGCACACGCCACAAGAGGCTGTAGAGTCTTGGCAAGGGGAATGGGTGGTGAGGTACAACTCTATAGATGTAAAGTTATGAAGCTGTGGCGGCGATTCTGAACACATCAGTGGAGTTTTATAGCTTAAGAAGGGTCCTGTTGGTGGCGGCACCCTGTTGGTGGCGGCACCCTGTTGGTGATGGCACCCTGTTGGAGGCGGCACCAGTGTGTACAGCACAGGGTGCCACCACCAGTGCCACCCTGAGCGCGTAAAGCAGGGTGGCACTGTGTTTGTATGACTTGTGGCGCAACTGATGCCAATTGTTTCCCAGAGACACGAGGACTACTGCCAAATGGGGCACTTGTCCCATCCCTCCCCCCCCCCCATCCCCCCCTCCCTCACAAACCCAGGACAACACTTAATAAACCTTCAACACTTCTCCCTCTCCTGCTTTAACCCTTATTCTCATTCTATCACCATCCATTAATCCCCCCCCATCCCTCAACCCCACCCCCATGACCAATCATCAGGCACGTCACCCCCCCCCCCAATCACCAGAACATTCCTAATCATCTTGAACAACATTTATAGTCTTGAAACCAACTTGGCGGAACAGTCCCTAATACCATCAGGTGGCGCCAGGCAACACAACAGGTGGCGCCAGGCAACACAACAGGTGGCGCCAGGCAGCACAACAGGTGGCGCCAGGCAGCACAACAGGTGGCGCCAGGCAACACAACAGGTGGCGCCAGGCAACACAACAGGTGGCGCCAGGCAGCACAACAGGTGGCGCCAGGCAGCACAACAGGTGGCGCCAGGCAGCACAACAGGTGGCGCCAGGCAGCACAACAGGTGGCGCCAGACAACACAACAGGTGGCGCCAGACAACACAACAGGTGGCGCCAGACAACACAACAGGTGGCGCCAGACAACACAACAGGTGGCGCCAGGCAGCACAACAGGTGGCGCCAGGCAGCACAACAGGTGGCGCCAGGCAGCACAACAGGTGGCGCCAGGCAGCACAACAGGTGGCGCCAGGCAGCACAACAGGTGGCGCCAGGCAGCACAACAGGTGGCGCCAGACAACACAACAGGTGGCGCCAGACAACACAACAGGTGGCGCCAGGCAGCACAACAGGTGGCGCCAGGCAACACAACAGGTGGCGCCAGGCAACACAACAGGTGGCGCCAGACAACACAACAGGTGGCGCCAGGCAACACAACAGGTGGCGCCAGGCAACACAACAGGTGGCGCCAGGCAACACAACAGGTGGCGGCGCCAGGCAACACAACAGGTGGCGGCGCCAGGCAACACAACAGGTGGCGGCGCCAGACAACACAACAGGTGGCGGCGCCAGACAACACAACAGGTGGCGGCGCCAGGCAACACAACAGGTGGCGGCGCCAGGCAACACAACAGGTGGTGGCGCCAGGCAACACAACAGGTGGTGGCGCCAGGCAACACAACAGGTGGTGGCGCCAGGCAACACAACAGGTGGTGGCGCCAGGCAACACAACAGGTGGTGGCGCCAGGCAACACAACAGGTGGTGGCGCCAGGCAACACAACAGGTGGTGGCGCCAGGCAACACAACAGGTGGTGGCGCCAGGCAACACAACAGGTGGTGGCGCCAGGCAACACAACAGGTGGTGGCGCCAGGCAACACAACAGGTGGTGGCGCCAGGCAACACAACAGGTGGTGGCGCCAGGCAACACAACAGGTGGTGGCGCCAGGCAACACAACAGGTGGTGGCGCCAGGCAACACAACAGGTGGTGGCGCCAGGCAACACAACAGGTGGTGGCGCCAGGCAACACAACAGGTGGTGGCGCCAGGCAACACAACAGGTGGTGGCGCCAGGCAACACAACAGGTGGTGGCGCCAGGCAACACAACAGGTGGTGGCGCCAGGCAACACAACAGGTGGTGGCGCCAGGCAACACAACAGGTGGTGGCGCCAGGCAACACAACAGGTGGTGGCGCCAGGCAACACAACAGGTGGCGCCAGGCAACACAACAGGTGGCGCCAGGCAACACAACAGGTGGCGCCAGGCAACACAACAGGTGGCGCCAGGCAGCACAACAGGTGGTGGCGCCAGGCAACACAACAGGTGGTGGCGCCAGGCAACACAACAGGTGGTGGCGCCAGGCAACACAACAGGTGGCGCCAGACAACACAACAGGTGGCGCCAGGCAACACAACAGGTGGCGCCAGACAACACAACAGGTGGTGGCGCCAGGCAACACAACAGGTGGCGCCAGGCAACACAACAGGTGGTGGCGCCAGGCAACACAACAGGTGGTGGCGCCAGGCAACACAACAGGTGGCGCCAGACAACACAACAGGTGGCGCCAGACAACACAACAGGTGGCGCCAGACAACACAACAGGTGGCGCCAGACAACACAACAGGTGGCGCCAGACAACACAACAGGTGGCGCCAGACAACACAACAGGTGGCGCCAGACAACACAACAGGTGGCGCCAGACAACACAACAGGTGGCGCCAGACAACACAACAGGTGGCGCCAGACAACACAACAGGTGGCGCCAGGCAACACAACAGGTGGTGG